AGTTTGAATTTTGTCAAAACGGGGTATGTGGAGCTCTCATGAGCTGTCATTAGCTTACCTCTAGTAGGTATCCACCAGGGCATACTGGGCACTTGCCCGCTGGGCCGACGGTTGGAAATGTATATTACTTTACTGCTGTTTCTAATGTAAGTTGCCCTATTATATAACATTTTTCTTACTGACAGTAAGATGTCTGTTAATGACTGAGAGGATTGTTTCAGCTTCTTCCATACAGTAAAAGGTTTCCTTCAAAGATAGAAACAAAATCATTTTTCTTGTTTGCTTCTCACTTCTGTAAATGTGAATGCTGTGTTGGAGATGTTTTTCTCTGAGGAGTCGTCTGTTGCATTCATATTTGTGTAGGTGTTGTTTAACAATAGTGTGGTTCACCACCTCTCCACTCCTTAGTCTTTCTGCCTCATGCAGAAGTTCAATGCCGTCAGGGAAAAAGGAAAAGAAAGTTTTCTTACATAGTTTCCATTCTCCTAAAAATCTCTCTTTAAAGCTGCACAAGAACGCTAAATGAATAAAATCCGGCCTAAAACATTAATAGAGATATTTGGCTTGTTTTATTGATTCTAACAATGTACCTAGGCTATCTCATTTTCAGCAAATTGTTTCCAAAAAATTATGTTTTTCAAGTACTTATTTCAGTTTTTTTTTTTAGCATGCGTTATAGATGATAAAAGTACAGATACATTATTTTTAATTTTTTTTAGAAACTCGGTTTGAGGTTTTCATGTGCTGCAAGCCGTCATTATTAACACCAGTTAAGTAAAGCCTAGAAATGTGTCACTCAATTTACTGTGTTGATTTATAAATCTCACTTTTTAAAATTAAACTACTGAAATAAATTCATTTTTTTGATGATATTCTAGTTTACGCTCCTCCTGTGTAGTCCTTCCAGAGGATCTACTATGCGATCTGCTCTTATTGGGAAACCCCGGGAAACGATCTCCACCATAATGTCTGGCTGGCTGGCGAGCGCCTGGTGGTCGACCCGGCTCACCCTGAGAAAGCAGCAGCGAGTCCCCTCCATGTGGGCGCACCACCTGTGAGGAGTGGGGGGCTGGGTCATGCTGATTCCTAACATCAGATTCTTCCAATAATTACACATTCAATGACTTGTAACAACTTTCGAAACCTTCTGGAAAAAGCGACTTGAGGGTCGCAGGAAATATATTCTGAGCTGATTTCAAGGGGTGAATTTCAATCATGTGGGTAGTTGGACCCACATGATTTGTTTTTTTTCTTTATACACACACAAGTGAAAGGACGAGTTGATGGGAGCTCAACTTTTACATTTTTGCTGTCTCTTTACTGCGGCCTGTATAGATTGTTCATAGGAATGTAGAGAGCTTGAAGCTTTTTGCCTGTTTGGATGTTGACGCCGAGGGCAGTTAAGGTCACCGATGAATTCATGTTCAAAATGCATCATAAAGGCTCGTTATAGCTTCTGCTGACTGTGTTTTTACATCATTAAAATATGAAGAGCCTACTGCTCAGGCGATCCACAGTCGTTTCAGTCTGCTGTACTCGTCTGTGTTTACAGAAAAGCATCGTCTCTCATCTGTGAATTAGCATCACAGACGCATGCCCCGCGTTTTGTAGCCGACGTCCTGCAGGATGTTTCTAATGCAAACATATGAGGACTGTCGGAGAAGATGCAATCGGCATCAATGTTTAATTGGATTGATTGTTATCTTGTCTCATCTGATCAAGTCAAAGCCTGACGCAGAATCTTAACAGCGGACAAAACGGCAATGAAGCGGTTAAAGCGGAAAAGGCGTGCAGGTTTTCTCATAAGTGTGGGTTTCGGATCACCTGTATCGGTTTATTTGAGGGAACGTGACTCGTTTGTGTTTTTAATGAGTCTTTCCAGCTCTTGTGTGCGATTATGGTTGCATGTCAGTGTTTGGTCGAGCTCTGACAGGGTCAAAGTTGACGACTCAGTGGAAACTGAGGAGACCTTCGTCCTATCACCCTTCTGTTTTTGGTAAACACATCTAAACTGTTTTCTCTCTCTTTTTTCTCTCATTCTGCTCCTATCTCTGACTCTGGTTTTCTTTTCCTCCTTGCAATATTTTTTTCTCTCTCTCTCTCTCTCTGTCTCTCTCTCTTGTGGTCTGGCATTTTTCAGCTTTGCATTCCAGCTGCATGGATATGTTCGCTCCCTCTTGCTCTCTTTCTGAATTCTTCCCATGTTGCCTTTTGAAGTTGTGTGCCAGACATCGTACTGCATCTGCTGGATTCCTTGCTGAAGTCCGCTTGATTTACTTTTTTTTTATTTAGGAAGACCATTGTGGCATTTTTCTCCACGTTTGTGTTTAAATGTGCTTCTGCAACAAACACATTTAGATTCTTGGTGTGACTATACGTGTTGGTGACCACTGAGTCTTACTCAGCTTTGGTATATTGGTAGAAGGTTCAGGTGACCACAAACTTCTTTTGTTTGCAAATAATGCTGACCACGGTGCTTTTAAGATGCACTGTCTTGTTTTTTTTTAGGCGAAAAAGTCTAACTTTGCCTCCTTTGACCTGATCATCCACATGTTTGTTGTGGAGCTTGGCAAACTTTCGCTTGCCGGTGCAGATGACACATGGAGTCTTGTGAACAATCAAGCACTCATGATCGTGAACTTTTTATTTTTATTAATCAAAGAACAACCAATGATCACTATTTGCTTAAATTGCTCATCAGTCATCATATTTTAATGTCACTCACCTGTGTTATTTGAGCTCAATTTCAATATGTTGAAGGATATTCGACAGCTGAATTGGGCCAACGTTACGATAACGCGATGCAGGATGTGTTGCCGCCGTGAAGACGCCGGGATTAGATCAGAAACAAAAGCGAAGAGAAAAGGAGAGGCTTTTTATTCTCTCGCCTGCCTCTCGGTCTTCAGGGAAGTCCCAGAAATGTCAGCTATCAACCTATTTGAGTTTGTGCAAGGCAGCTCTACTGTATGAGTCAGCAGCCCTAACCCACATTCACACAGAGGGGATACAACAGCCAGGGAATGATTAAGATGATAACACTGCTAATTGTCTTTTATTCGTGTCAGTAGGAATGTGGAAATAAACCCAACTGGGTGGGGAGAGAGCAGCGATGATTCTGTCCTGGCTGTCGGGGAACACAAACTGGAGACATTTGGAGCAATAAAGGCCTTAAAATGATTCTGTTTATGCAAGCTTTTGGTGTTTGTGTGATCCCTATCTGGTCCTTTTGACTTTACCTTTTCTCTCTCGTCGTATCTAGTGGCTGTTTTGCATGTTTTATCTTCACACACCATTTTCTTCCTTTCGTCTCTTTCTTCGCTTCGATGCCAATCGGCCGTTGCTGCAGGAACGTGACGCCGTCTTTTACCATCGTTCTTTCCCCAGCTTCTTGTTTTATTAGTGTTGCTTTTCTCCCGCCTCTCTGCTGCCTGCGTCAGCTTTAGCTCTGGGAACACACCGCGGCTCCTAAGGTGATGACCTGGCAGCCGTTCAGGTCGCATGTGGCACATTTAAGTAGACATCACGGTGACATCACTTCCAGCTTTAACTGACAGTGACTCAGACCCGGTTGTGTCAAATCTTCTTTAGCCGTTCTAACTGTGTATAAGCACCTGTCAGCGCGCTTTAGTAACACATCTGCAAAGATGACACACATGTGCTGCCTCTGTCGGTCTCTGTCGGTATCCGTGATGTCGCTTCAGATGATCCAAGATCGTAAGAGGGTTTAAAAGTGCAAATCAGTCAGGCTGTAGCTTGTTGTTGTTGTTCCACGCCTCTAAATGTGATGCGTTGTGGTTTCCAGGTTCATCCTGCAGTGATTCACGCTGATGAGGACTGGGGGGTAGTTTTCTTTTTAATATATACAACTTCCAAATCAATAAACCTCACTGCACATATTGGAGTTAAGATAATTAAAGCTATAATTATATAGAATAGTGACATCTGGCTTTGATGTTGCAAATTGCAACCAAATAAATCTTCGTCTCATTCCAGTAGCTTTGAAGAGATCGTGCTGTCAAATGAGAAGTATGGTGTTAATTTAATAAAGCTGGAGTTGTTCTAGATTCTTCTCATTATTGTCTCTGGGATGTTCTTGTTGTAGCAGCTTGTAGCAGTAAAGAAGCTGCTCCGCTGTACTGAGAACGGCTCTGGTGTGTTTTGGGTATAATTAAATGTAGAAAGATAATTTAGAAGTGAGGTTGAAGTGAATTTTACACTGTAAAATGAACAACGGCTGCACACTATATTGCAAATGTACCTGGACTTAACTTTTTACTCATGCATAATTATTTTAAGCCAAAAATGCACAACAACCGGATTTAAACTAATTGCATTTTATCTTTTAAATTAAGGCTGAAGTACCATGACTGCATCATGAGTAGTGTGCAAATAAAACTCTGCATACTGAGTGACATAGAGGCTGTGAAGAATATTTAAATAAAAGAATTTTCCATGTTCATCAGAATAAAATTTTTTTTGGTTTTTTTTTTTTTTTTTTTTTGCATATTTCCCCCCTGAATATTTCCCAATGGACCTGTAGTGTGCGTGCCTGTCCGCAGAGACACCAACGAACAAAACGAGCTGAAAAGTAACTCCGGCGGCCGTCGTTTCAGCTCCGGTGGTTCCCATTTATCCTCAGCAGAGTAGACAATAGGATGACTGCAGCCGGGCAAATGTTCTTTTGCTCTGCAGCTTACCTCGGCTCAACCTTGTGATCCCCAGGAGCTTGCAGGTCACCAGGGAAATATAATCCCCACAGCGTGCTCTGGGATGAGGCCAGAACACCTCGGAGAAAGCAGCGCAAACACAGAACATGCTTTGTGTCGAGGTGAAGGATTCATAATTACGGCAGATGCCACACAGCATCTTTCGGTTTGAACTGTAGCGAGCCTGAACCTGCTTTGTTCTGCGAAGGTTTCTTACTCGCACTCTAATAATCGCCTCGTTTAGCATCCCTACATGCTCCCGGTTATTAACTGATTATGTCTCTGTCCTGCCAGCATCTTCAGTGCACCATCCAGGCCTTACAAGACGAGCTCAGGATCCAGCGCGATCTCAATCAGCTCTTCCAATCCGATTACTCGGAGTCCGGGCGACTTGGCGCCCAGCCCATTCCCCCTCAGGAGATGACCGAGGAGAACTTCCTTCGTCTCCACAGCGAGTTTGAGCGGCAGGCCAAGGAGCTCTTCCTCCTGAGGAAGACTGTGGAAGAGATGGAGCTGAGGATAGACACGCAGAAGCACACTTTGACCACCAGGTAGAGGCGGAGGGACTCGCAGCGGTTGCATAACTTCTTCCGGCTGAAAATGCTTCGGGTTCTGCATGACTTGTGTGCCCTTCTTTGTCTGATAGGGATGAGTCAATAAAGAAGTTGTTGGAGATGTTGCAGAGTAAAGGTCTGTCGTCGCGGGCGACAGAGGAGGACCACGAGCGAACGAGGCGACTCGCTGACGCAGAGATGACCATCCACCAACTGGAGGGGCTGCTGGAGCAAAAAGACAAGGAGATGCTTCAGCTCAGAGAGGTGTGTGTGCGATCTCCATGGTGTGTGTGATCTCCATGGCATGTACCTTTGGTTACAATGTGCAGTATTTATGCAAGATTACAAACAATCATGTAGACACACCTTATCCTGAATGATTATTTTTGTTCTTCCAGCCTTTTCTTATTCATTCTTTCATAAATTCTCTCCAAACTTATTTTGTCCTGTACACTAAGGATTTGTCATACAACAGCTCCCCCTAGTGTTCACAAATGTGAAATGAACAACAAAGAATGCCAGAGATGCGTCATGAAATATTTCACCTATATTAAGCATTCATATAGATATAAATGTAATGCTTTTATTTGCTGCTTTGTGCTTTAAAACCAGTTAAATGTACGTACAGGGCTTTGGAAAACCGTTTAAACAACTTTAACTTTTTCACATGTGGGCAGATGACGGCACAAAGTACAGAAAAAGCGTTTAACTTTCCAGACTTGACACAGAATGATGCTGCCGCCACCACAGTAAATAAACTCGTATGCTAAAGTCGGTGTTTTCAACAGGACATGATTGTGAAAACATTTCAGAATATGAAATGAAATGCAATGACTATTAGGACACTTTAAAATGAAACCAGTCATTCCCATTCAATCACACATTGATAATTATAGTACAGTGAAAGTTAAACACATTAATTAGGAGTTCGTATCAACAAAAGATAAATACGTCAGCCTGCCCTAACTGTTGTTTCTTCGTGTTTCATGAGCGTTCTGTAAATACTTCCTGTTTCCTCATCTGCATCTCTCCTGGTGTTTGGAGAACTACAGGAAACAATCTCACGAGGAACCGCAGTGGCATTATGCTATCTTTCAAAGATACTTCCTGCTGAGAATTTGTCTTGCTAATTTCCTGATGTACCGCTGGCGCTTCCCCCCTACGGGACACTTTTTACTCGACTAATTAATAAAGCAGTCCCTGCAGCATTCTGCTGCCACATCTCCTGCTCTTAAGCACAGCGCCTCCTGGGAGCAGAGCTGCTGTTCACTTAATTAAAGACCTGTTGTATAGAAGACTTGCAAGAGTAAAATGTTAAAAGATTTAAAATCGAGCTGCATTTTGGAAATTGGTTTAGCCAAAGCATTGACTACTATGAGTCTTTTGTGGCTTATGTGAAATTAATAAGAGGTTTTTATCAGAGATGCTGATTGGTGTTTTATGCTGGTTTCTGATCTCAAGGTTTTGTATAGCTTTGAGTCGCCAATTTTAATTTTGATTTATCTTTATGAACTATTATTAAAAACAATCAAAATGTGTAGTGTTTTTTTTTTTTTTTTTTTTTTTTTTTTTTTCTTTTTTCTAAGGGAAAAAAAAATTTTTTTTTCACAATAATT